CGTTAATGTTACACGTATATTAAAACTGGTGAGGGATTATATCCATCACAATTGAATCCAACATAAATAATTTAATTCGTGATTGATCACAGGTGAGAGGAATTCACTTTGGATCGGGCACTGTCTTTGCTGTAATCATAAATTGATCATTTTTTAATAATTCGTTAAATAAGATCTGCTAATTTGAAGTCGTTTGTTAATATTGAAAATAAATAAAAAGCCGCAATCATTAAATCGAAATCTTTATTAAGAAATTGTCAAAAGATTAAGGAAAAAAACACAAGTTCTAATTTACTAATTATTGATGGGCTTTCAACCTTGTTTGTAATAAAGTCGATTTTTTTGCATTGCGAAATTTGATCGACGATCGATGACATCACCCCTCGGGGGTTATCGGAAATGATCTGCATTTGTGTAACAGATGACGGTCTCTCCTCGAGATTTTATTAGCTATATGTCACATGCAGGTGCCAAATAATAGCCTTCAAGTATAATGGCAGTGCGAATTAATCGTTTAACTAATCCAACTGCAGTGTTAGTATATGTTGGATGCGGCGATATTTGCGGATAATAAATTGATGCGTACTATATCCGCTAAAAGCGGTAAAGTATCAGTATCATAATCGGCAGGATTACTAATGCTAGCTCCGGTATAAGATATTGTTTGTTGTGGGATGCTTGCATTACCTCCAAGCCCTTGTGCTGGAAGGTAATGGTGTTCCATAGTTGTGCGAGTATAACAAGGTGAATACACTGGTTGGTATGGCATGCTCAGCATACTGCGACTTACACTTGAAGATCTTTTGTTACGACTTGGTTCAGTTTCAACAGCACTGAAGTCTAAAGACCTGAAGTTCAAGGCAGTATAGATTAGAATCTTTTAGTTCTAGTTTAGAATTAATAAAGCATACCACTCCATCCTTAAATAATTGTTTCGTTTTCGCTTGAATAAAGTATATACTTATCTGAATCTTTGCGCATTGTCTTTGAATTCGACTTGTAGCTTTAATAAACCTTTTCGAGACTCAATTCGACGGACTGAATTGACTTGAAACCTTGATTTAGCTTATTAAGACTCAGATTCTGGAACGATTGTGGAATCAGATATTGTCATTCACCTTAGTGACTTGCAAGAATTTTGGTAAAGAACGAGACTTACGATTGGTTATTCGACCCTGTTAATCACCCACGTGGACTTAAAGTTATCACCGTTACCATTTCATCATCCGCTTTTACCTCACCATCCTTATTGAAATATCCCTAACAACATCACCTGTAGTTGTTTCGCCTCATTATCATCCCTCTTAATATTAAAGCCTTCGTTTCAGTGTCATATTGTCTCAATAGACCTTCGACAGTTAAAAAGCATCCTTCGTTTTTTAAGTTTATCTTTATCTCCCCGTACACCGTTGGAGTTAAATTAGCCCTTTATCTACATAATCTTAAGCTCTCCCATCAACGGTTACAGTATGCGCATTTTCGAGTAATGGATTTTTGTTTTT